AGAAAGCTTCAGTGGCAGAGCCAGGGTTTGACCCCAAAGACTCTTAACTCCAGAGCCCACAAAGGGAACCTCTCTTTTGCTGGGCTTCCCTCTGTCGGTTAAATATTAACCTCAAAAAGGGGTCCCTGAATCTTTGCCAACGTGGCCAGTCCAAGCTAAAGCAGATGATTTAGTGTATAAAGAAGTTCTTTGCTGGAAGACTATTTGGATTTTCTCTGCAGCTGGCCTTTGAAGACCTTCTTTACATCTCCCCTGTCCCTTCATGCTAGGTGACTTCCCCAAGAACCCCCAGGAAGATGCAGCCCTTCTTGGAATTCTTGTGGCTTCTAGGTGGCCTCTACCGTGTGCTCCCTTGCCTCATGGCCATCTCTGGACAGGGAGCGCTGCCTTGCTGGATCCTAAGTTCTTAAGACGGTGATGAGCCTCATATGGTCTGCTGACCTGGCGGCCTCACCCTTGACGGGCTCTGCTACCTCTGTGAGCTCCAGCTTCTAAGATGGGCACCTGTTGGGCCCACTTAATGGGGCACTGGATGAGTTCTTAGGTGAAGGCCACTTCACAAAATTCCTTGCATCTAGAAGTCACTCAGTAAATCAGAACAACAGTAACAGCGGCAGCCAGCAGTTTCAGGGCGTCCAAAGTGTGCAGGACTCTGGCCCTCATACGTGTTAGGCACTTACACTTAACCCTCATGGCAGCCTTCGAAGGGAGGGGCTGAATCAGCCCCATTTCACAGATGAGGTTGCTGAGGCATACAGAGAGTGAGCAGTGGGTTCATCGCTTCCCTCTGTGTCCTTCTCTCACTTCCTGGGCCTCAGTGGCCATGTGGCCACAGGCACACTGTGAAGGTGGTCAGTGGTCAGGCTTAACGAAATGGACATATTCATTTTCAGCATCCCTCCAAGGGTGAATGCAGAGAGGTGGTTTCTCCCTGGCGCATTTTTTTGTTTAGCAAAGGCTTCCTGAGCCCTATTGGTGTGTGAAGACATCATGCTGGGCCCAGGGAGCCCAAGAAATCAGTGACAGCTCCTGAGGCAGAAGGGAGAAGGCAGAGGGTTCTCACTCCTGCCAGGAATGCGAAGAGCCAGTGGAGTTCAGTACCTTGTGCAAGGGCTTCCCGGAGGAGGTGGCCTTTGGAAGAGCCTGGAAAGGATGAATGGCATTTTCAAGGTGGGATGGAACTTGCCAGCCTGAGAAGAGGCACAGAGGCCCCAGTATTAGGGAGCACTTGGCACGCTGAACCGTTGCTGCTGACATTGCAGGTGGCTTCTGGCCTTGGTGCTTCTGTGGGTGAAGCAGGATTGTTGGGGCAGTTTGGGCTGGACAGGACTGTGGCTGGGAGCAGCTTGTGGTGGGATACCGGGCAGGCCATGCTGGATTAGGGTTGTACAGAGTGGGGCAGAATTATTAAAAAATGCCAAGCCCCTGTGACCGGGCCAAGCATGTCTGCGGGTTAAATTGCTTGTTGGAGAGAAGAAGGGCTCTCAGGCACCCTCCAGACCCTCCTCGCATCCCAGCCAGGCCCTGCCTTTCTGATAGCAGCCCAGGAGTCGGGTTGGTCCTTCATCCTTGGGCACAGGGACCAGGCATTCCCCCAGTGGTGGTATCTTGAGTCCAGGCAGTGGCGTCACATCAGCAGGGCTGCTGGGGGTGCCTGCGGGGGCGAGAGCCTTCTCTGCGACAGCAGGAGCCCATCTCCCCTAGAATGAGATGAGTCACAGTCCCGTCGGTGCGGCTGCCACTTCTGCTTCTGCAGCAGGTATGTGTGGAGGCAAGCTAGTCCTGAGACCGCCCCACACGCTGTGCCTGTCTCTTCCCCAGTGCACGGGCAGCATGCCAGCAGGGCCTCGCGTGTATGCACGGACGTGTCCTCCATACGCCTGTGTGCATCTTTGCTCTGGGGCAGCAAACCTTCCAGACAGGCAGTGGGATGCCCAGTTTGGGAACGTTGGTTAGCTTTGCTTCTCACCAAGTTTGGGGCAGAGGGGACGAAACAGGAAGGAGCTGGTTTCCGCCCACAAGGCTCACCCACGGAGCTGCAGGGCAGTTGGGAGCTTGTTCATGGGCCTGTGTAGTGTCCTGGGCTGAGGTGGTAAGGCAGCGGTTGCCCACTCCCTGGCCTCAGGCAGGGCCCTGCCGGCCCCTGGGGGTTCCCACAAGGGTTCACTTCCTGAGCCTGGCCAGGCATGTTCTCAAAGGACAGCAACCTGGGTCTGAAGGCCATCAGCCTGGAGGGTTGGTGGGGACTTGTGGGGCACAAGTTCTGGGGAGAGAAGCCACTCAGGCTTGGGTTTTGTTCAGTTGCGGGGGACCCTCTGGTCATCCAGCACACCTAGGACATGGGCCTTGAGAGCAGGAGGTGCCCAGGGGATCTCCTCTTCGTTTTGCACAAGCATAACCTGTAGATCCTCCCTGTGAGATTCTGGTGTGCCAGTTCTGGAACCAGGTGGTGCTCCGGGTCCCCAGTGACCTTCCTGGGAGACAGAGGCTGTTCCAGCCCAGCCTCCCTGAGGAGCAGGTTCACTGCTGCTTTCCTGTGTTTCTCTGCCCTGCTCACTCCCTCTGGGCTCCCAGTCTCCAATCCGCCACCTGGAGAGCAGAGTCTGTCACCGTCTGTCACCTTTGGCATCTGGATCTCCAATGAGCCACCACTCCTTATCGTGCCTGGCCAACTGAGCGCCTCTACTCCAAATGCGAGTCCTGCAGTTTCCTCAGAAATCACGAGCAGCGCTCAGTTGGGCAGCCCTCTGACTGCATTCTCCTCTTTGAGCCACATCAGACTTAGGCTGCCAAACCTGTGTTCAAGCTTATTTGACCAAGATCCACGATAAATACACATACGACACCTTGATCCAAGGTGCACATGTATTTGTGTATAAAACCAAGACAGAAGCTCAAGGACTAATATTCATCTTTATTGTGTGCTCACACTCAGTCACTTTCTAGTTGATTCTTTTTTCTCCCCTGTTGGTTGGATGTCATCTCCTGCTTAGATTCCGTGACCCACAGTTGGAAAACACAGAGTAGAGTGGAGGTATCATCTGATGCCCATTTTACAGATGAGGAGATTGAGTGCAGAAACTTGCACCAGGGTCCTAAGCCCAAAAGTCTATGCCATCACAGAGCTGTTCTGGAGGCAGACAGACAGTAATCAAATAAATATATAATTAGGACATTAGTGGTGGAGTGCCATGACAGAAAGTCCAGTACCAGGGTGAGGGGGCAGGCAGTGTCGGGTAGGAGTTGCTCTTTTATACCAGGAGGGCAGGGGAGGCCCCTCCAGCGATCTCAGACAGGAAGAAAGCGAGGGGCTGGCCAGGCTGAGAGATCTAGGGGAGAAGATATCCAGGCAGGGGAGGGGCAAGTATGAGCAGACAGTGGCGTGGTCCTGCCCTCCAGGCTGGTCACCTCTGCAGGAGCCCGTCTGACTTGACCAGCATTGCCAAGAGCTCAGCTGGGCAAGGCGCAGAGCACGAGACTTGGCTGCCCTGATCTCTACTGCCTGTAAGTCATGCAGCCCCCTGCCTCCCTCTGGGAAGTCCTCACGTCTGGGCTAGGCTCCTTGCATCCGCAGAGGTGCCTCCCCAACACCTCCATCCCCAGTTGCCCTGGCTGCTAGGGTTGGACTGGCCCCTCAGCTAGGGTACAAGTCTCCCAGGTGTGACTGAGAACCTTTGCCATCTGCTGTCACCTGTGACTAAGACAGACACAAGCCACATTGCCCATCCCTTCTCCGAATTTCCTTCCCCTAACACACACACACACACACACATACACCCCCTGTGTGCCCTGGGTAGAGGCAGTGTCACAGCTATGGGCACTTTGCTTTTCTGCTCCTCCTGGTTCCACGTCTAGAATTTTGTGACTTGGTGAGAGGGTGGTGCCAGAGAGCCAGTGCTGGCTCTCGTGGGAGAGGCAGCTTCATCCCCAGACTCCTGGGGGCTGACACCCTGGCAGGTCTTCACGTCCTGCCCTTCGCTGGGATCTGCTGACCTCACTCTTGTGCACCCAAGTGGTTGGTAGGAAGCATCACTGGACACTCACTGTAGGCCTGAGCACAAGAGGTAGGGCTGAAGGCTAACTCCTTGCTTCTGATGTCTGAGAGCTCCTTGGGGAGATGTCCACAAATGTGGGTACTGCTGGACCTGGTGAGGGGAGCAGGGGAAATACGGTCCTGGTTGGTAAAGAGGAGGCAGTGTTTAGGGGAAGGGGCAGCTCCACAAGAGGACAGAGCCAAAGCGGGGTGAGGGAATGGTGGGGTCTGCCAGAGGAGTAAGTCATTCTTAAGTGTGAGTTTGGACTCTGCCTTATAAACGCCAGAGGCCACCAAAGGTCTTTAATTGTGCCGGGCATCTTAGGTGTTTGAGGGAGATTAGCTCGGGAGGGATGTACACGAGAGATCAGGGAGCGGGCAGGAGAGGGTGTGCAGCAGGTAGGCCTGTACCCATGTTGCTGGGGGTTGGGAAGGAAGGGTGCTGGTAGAAAGCCTGCATTCCCATGACCCAGGCAGCCAGGCTGCTGTGAAGGGCTGGGAGGCAGAGGGAAGGGCTGACACCCTCAGACTCGGACCCTTCCAGCCTGCACTGAGAGGGACTGAGCAGTTCCAAGGGTAAGGTGGTTTTGGAGAGCCCAGGCTCTTCCTAAAGGGCCACATGGAGTCAGAGCCCCGGTGAAGGAGGAGCTCAGATTGGGCCTCAGGTCACACCACTTCATCGGTTGCATGACCTGTGGACTCAGGGCTACGGGGAGACCCACAGCCATGGAAGTAGCTCTCTGCAGTGATCCGGGGAACGGTGGCCACTTCTGAACAGCCTGTCACCATGCAGGGCATATTGTTGTGCACTGGGCACTGAGACGGGCCTGGGGGTCCAGTACTGACTCAGATGGGGGTTACCTAACACTGGCTGGGAGCTGCGGTCACTTGCTGGGGTGATGGGCATGGCCTGTCTTGAGTCTGTGCCTGCCAGGCCCTGAGGATCTCCCTCTGTCTCCCTCTGCAGTGATGGGTCGTTCCCCTATGACTCTGTCCCTTGGCAGCAGAACACCAACCAGCCTCCCGGCTCCCTCTCCGTGGTCACCACGGTTTGGGGAGTGACCAACACATCCCAGAGCCAGGTAAGAGCCTATACTGCCCTCAGCCACAGCTCCTTCTAGGTGGGAGTGTCCCTTGACCCCTGGAGCCATACCAACCCTCTTCGCCCTCCCAGGCCCTGCCCTGCTGGGAAGACCGGCTTCCAGGGCACACCCAGCTGTGGACACGTCTCCACCCCTGGCAGGCTCTGTACCCACCTCAGGAGGGCAGCCTCTATGGACTGTCCCCATCCTAAGGCCTTTCTGGGGCAATGGCATTCATCATACGGACAGCAAGGGGTTCTTCCCTAGCCCATTTGCTCTGGTAAACAGGAGAACTTCTGTGTTATTGGCCTCAGGGCTCCAAGGTCTGAGGTCTCTGACCCTGAATGTGTGGCCTGAGTTAGATTTCATCAAAATATTGTGCCTTGGACTTCTGACAACTCCCTACCCCCCATTGCCCTAGTCAAACCCGCCTCCCTCTCATTCCTTCCTTTCTTCCACTCCTCCTCTGCCCAGTCAGGGGGTCTCCCACCTGTCTGACCTCTGCTAGACTTAGCTGTGGCTACATGGAAGGCTCAGGGCTGCTTGTCACCCTGGAGGGAGCCACTGGGCTGACCTGTTGTTGTTGCCTGCTGCTGCTGCCCTCCAGAGCTAGCAGAATGGATTCCTCTTGGCCCTCACAGAGCAGCAGCCAGGGACCTCGGGGCCCCTGTGTGACGAGACACTGGCATCCAGGCTCGTTTGTGGGGCAGTAGGCTGCATGGCCAGGGCTCTCCCCACTGGCCTCTGGCGCAGGAGCAGTCTCTCCTCCCTTCACGGGGCTGCCCAGCCCCTGGGGACCACTTGAGCTGGCTTTGTGGGGCTTGGTCATGCCCTCAGCTTGTTCCATCACAAGGCTGACCTTCTCATCCCCCGTGCCACCTGCCGCCCAGGGCCACTGTTATCACCAGTACACTCGGAGTAGTTCATCCACCCTCCATTTTTCTCCTCCTCCCTGTTGTCCTGCCTCCACTTTGTTCTTTCTCCCTTTCCCCTCTTCATTTATCCCCCTTCCTCTCCACGCTACCTGGGGTAGCACCTTAGGTGACAACCACTTTCTCTGCCCACAGGTCCTTGGGAACCCTATGGCCAATGCCAACAACCCCATGAATCCAGGCGGCAACCCCATGGCGTCGGGCATGACCACCAGCAACCCCGGCCTCAACTCCCCGCAGTTTGCGGGGCAGCAGCAGCAGTTCTCAGCCAAGGCTGGCCCCGCTCAGCCCTACATCCAGCAGAGCATGTATGGCCGGCCCAACTACCCTGGCAGTGGGGGCTTTGGGGCCAGGTGAGCAGGGTTGACTTGTGGCAGAAGCCATGGACCCTGCCCCTCTCCCTCGTTTCAACGAGGAGGGTCCCACTTAAATCCCAGCTCCACGCTTTCTGCCCTGAGAAGTTATCCTCTGTTGTCCCAAGAGTTGAAGGGGCTCAGTCATCCCTGGCTCACAGGGCTGGCCCACAGATAAAGCGCTGCAGCAGCTGGGCTATGTTCTGACAGTCATCAGGCTTGTGGAAATAGAAAGGTGACATTCTTATTCATCAAAACCTCAAAACGACCCTTCTCTGAATTGTGTCTTTAATAAATAGGAAGGTATTGAGAAAATCTGGATTGGGAAAGTTGAAGAGCAGGTATAGATGGGGTCCAGTTGCCCAAAGACAGTGAAACGGTCTGCTCTGCCTTGCTGATTGGTGAAAGCAGAATTATGCAGACTGCGAGTCCCTTGGCTCAGGAGAAAGGGGCAAGGACTCGCAGGATTTGGAGCTCTGGGGAAGGGTGTGAGGCGAGCAGAGGCGCCCATTCTCCTCTTTCCGCCCCGCCCTGCCTAATACCCCCACCTTGGCCTCAACCCTTGCCAGCCCTGGCTGGGTTTCTGACCTGGGGTTGGCACAGTAGTATGACCTGGTGGTTAAGCACAGGGATGAGAAACACCTGTAGCCGCAGCCACAGCTCTGCCATCAATGCTGGAGGGCCTTGGGCAAGTTGCTCAGGTTCTCTGAGACTCAGTGTCCTTCAGAAGATGGGCTCACTGGGGCCCGACAGCATGCAGTGAGGGTGCAGGCACTCCTGAGGGCTCCAGGAGCACAGCAGTGTGGTCATTGCCAAGTGGCACAAATGAATGGCTGCCAATCCCAAGAGGCCCTCTAGGTTCTGGGTACAGCTCCATCCTCTCCCTCCCAGCCCACAGCTTGCTCTTGGTTCCCCTCAGATGCAGGCAGTACCTAAGTCTTCCACCCTTCTCTCCCTGCAGTTACCCTGGGGGTCCTAACGCCCCCGCAGGCATGGGCATCCCTCCGCACACCAGGCCGCCTGCTGACTTCACTCAGCCCGCGGCAGCCGCTGCAGCAGCGGCAGTGGCAGCAGCAGCAGCCACAGCCACGGCCACAGCCACGGCCACTGTGGCAGCCCTGCAGGAGACACAGAACAAGGATATAAACCAGTATGGACCGGTAAGGGTTCCCACTAATCTCGCCCAGCCAGCCAAGCAGACAGCCCTGGGAAAGCAGAGTTGGAGTGTCAGTGCTTATGGGGCCATGTGTGCTGGGGGAGCTGACTGCATTAGGGTGGATTTGGGCTTCCATGGAAGCATGCGGAGGTCTGTGTTTAGAATGGGGTGTGTCCGTGTGCTTGGGTGTGGTGGGGTATCTGGGTGCTGGTGTTTGTGTGTTGGTGGCTCGTGCACTACTGCATATGGAGAAAAGGTTCCACATTGCTCTCTGGGCCCCCTACTCACCAAAGAGTGGGCTCGATGTCTAAAAACAGTCCTGTGACCGATCTGTCTCCTGGATTGCCTCTGAGACCAGTGCCCTCCTAGTCACCCTATCCATGGGTCTGCGCAGGCCCCAGTGCTGCTCCCTGACCTTCCGAAGGGTGGGTTGGGGGATGAGGAGAGGAGGAGCCCCCATAGGAATGCAGAACAGGAGGCGAGGAGGTGGAGACTGCATGGCAGTGGGGGCAGAAGTGGAAGCTGGGCTGAGGCCGACTTTGTGGATGGAGGGTGTGCCTTCATTGGCCCAGGGCCAAGGGCAGGGCCAGGGCTTCCAGGAAAGGGGCTGCAGTCTCACTCGGGCTCCTGCCTCCACCCTCATCTACCTCCACCCTCCCATGCCCCTCCCTGTCCCTGCACCCTTTCCTGATTTTCTGCCTGCCTCCCTCCCTGGAAATGCTGCCTGTGCATTGGAGTGACCGCCCCACCCCACCCCACCCTATCCCCTAACACCCCAGAGCTGCATCTCTCCTGTGCGGCTGCAGAGGGCAGCAGTGAGCCTGGGTGGATCCTGCTCCCCTGGGGCCTGGTTGGTCACCGGTCACTGCCGCACAGGACGGTCGGTGCCCCCTCCCCACCCCTCCACCTCCCCAACCCTTCCCTCCCTGCACTTTCAATGCATGTGGCATTTTATTCTTTTTTTTTTTTTCTTCTCCCGTTGAAGGTCTGTTCCTCTTTCCAGATGGGTCCCACCCAGGCGTATAACAGCCAATTCATGAACCAGCCCGGGCCACGGGGGCCTGCCTCCATGGGGGGCAGCATGAATCCCGCGAGCATGGCGGCTGGCATGACGCCCTCGGGGATGAGCGGCCCTCCCATGGGCATGAACCAGCCCCGGCCACCCGGCATCAGCCCCTTTGGCACGCACGGGCAGCGGATGCCCCAGCAGACCTACCCGGGCCCCCGGCCCCAGTCCCTTCCTATTCAGAACATAAAGAGGCCATACCCTGGAGAGGTGAGTGCAGCAGTGGGAGGCCGGGAAGTGGGAGCTGGGACACCTGGGCTTGAAGATGTGGGCCGTGGGTATGGCCTTGGAAGGGGTGTGTCTTGGACTCGAGCACACTCAGACAAAGAGGCAGGGGCTTAGCGGTCAGGTGCTTCTGCGTTTGAGACCTGATTCTACTGTTTCCCAACTGGCAGACCTCAAGCCAGTCACCCTGCCTTCTAGGGCTGCTTGAGGGACTTGAGGAGATATCCGTGAAGTGCTTGGCCCTAGGCTGGCCTATGCCACCGCTCAGCAAGCAGCAGTTCCTCTTACTGTAGTGACTCTTGTCTTGGCTCAGCCACTAACTGGGTGACCTGGGTTTAGTTCCTCCTGCCCACATGGAGACTTCCCCAACTCCTCTCCAAGAAAGAGAGCTGAGACAAAATGCTTCCAGTCTATAAGGGCTGACCCGTCGGGGAAGTGGCTGGAAGGCAGGCAGCTCTTTCCAGTCTGTAAGGGCTGACCCGTCAGGGAAGTGACTGGAAGGCAGGCAGCTGTTTCCGGTCTATAAGGACTGACCCGTCGGGGAAGTGGCTGGAAGGCAGGCAGCTGTTTCCAGTCTATAAGGACTGACCCATCAGGGAAGCGACTGGAAGGCAGGCAGCGTGTTTCTTAGCTCTTGTTTCCATCCACACTTGGTCACTGTATAGGAAGTGGCACTGCCTCTTGGGCTGCACAGCCAGCTCAGCCAAGGTGTTGGGGAAGATTTAGGGAAGTAAAATCCATACCTCCTGCCCTCTGGGAAGTGAGATTTTAGCAGGAAAGAAAAGTTTTGAGCGGAGACTCAAAATGGGAATGAAGCGTAGCAGACTGCACAGAACTCAATGTGAGTCAGAGAAGGCAGGCTTCCTGGAGAGGGTGTCACAAGTGAACCCTCAGAAAACGATGCTGGCCAGAGAAAGACCATTGGCTCCTGGGTCCTGAGTTTGGGGGAGCCTCAAGCTATTGGCACCTCTCCTGGCACACAGCCCCCATGCGGTTTCTAGGCCTTTTCTCAGTCACCCTGTGCCCAAAATCCCAGTGTCCCACTGGCTGTGCTGGGGATGCATCTGTTAGCCGACAGCAAAGCAGGCAATCTCGGACAAGGCTTCAGCGGAATTCCTGGTCATTGGTGTCAGCCCTGCACCTGCACCAGTGTCATGCTCATGGCTTTTGCCTGCCTAAAGAGAGCACACCAAAGGCTCTCCGTGTTTTTACTAAATTAATCATCCTTTTCATAGAATGCTGCTGCTACCCAGCTCCAGCACTGGGTGGTCACAGCCTGTGTGGCCCGATCCTGTCTGGGAAGACTGGCCTGCCTTCCCCTTGCCATGGCTTGCTCACACAGTATTTGAATTGTTGGAACCTTAGGACAGGGGTTGGGTCATCTGGTCCCACAGAGGACTCTCTTCTCTAGCTTGGTGGGCAGGTAGGCAGCAGGTAGGCACCAGCTACGTCTTCCGCACCTCCTGTGGTCAGTGCCTTACTGTCCCCCAGAGCAGCCACCGTGTTACAACAACATGAGTTGCAGATTCTTCCACACTGACACTCTCTGACATTTATCCCCAAGTCCATCATTCATTTGTTGAGTAAGCATTGTGGGCATTTTGTTAGGCACTGGGGCACAGCCACCAGCAGGACCTCTAGGCAAGAGAGCCACTCAGATGGGGAAGAAGAAACCACTGACTCACAGGATGTCATGTGGCCCTGAGGGTCACCTGATTTTCCAGACAGGGAAGGTGGCTAGAGGGTGGTGCTCTCTCTTCTCTAAATTGCCTCTCCTGGGAGAAGTTGTCTTGTTCCTTCACCAACCTGGCTCTCCCACCTCCTGCACAGGTGACAGGTTGTCGATGGTCCAGAACTGAACACTAGGTGTGTGTTCTGCTCCAAGGGGAGTACGAGGACAATGCCACCCAGGTTCATCCTCAGAATGCAGGGGCACAGGGGGTTCCTTTCTGGAAGTTCATCCTATTGACTGTGTTCTGTCACATTGGGGTACCCATTGGGGATCACAGCCCTAACCCAGGCGCCAGGAGAGACGCAAAGGTCAGGGGAGTTAGAATCAGGCCCCTCATAATGGTGTGAGCAAGAGGCTCTGAAAGTGTCCCTGGAGTTCAGGGGGCGCATGTGCTGCAGGAAGAACGGCCTCAAGGGAAGGTGGCCTGTGAGCTGGACAGGCAGAACAAAATGCCCCTGGATGTCAGGACGAGAACGGGCTCAAGCATCATCTGGTTTTGTGGGTGGGAAACAGCAGGAGCAAATGAGAAGAGGTGGGCCCCGTCCCGGTATTCAGGTGACCTGGCTATGTGACATTGGCAACATTGAACGTGTTTCCCCTCTCCTTTCTCTCCCACCACAGCCCAACTATGGAAACCAGCAATATGGACCAAACAGCCAGTTCCCCACCCAGCCAGGCCAGTACCCAACCCCCAACCCCCCGAGGCCACTCACCTCCCCCAACTACCCGGGACAGAGGATGCCCAGCCAGCCGAGCTCCGGGCAGTACCCGCCCCCAACGGTCAACATGGGGCAGTATTACAAGGTCAGTCCCAGCCTCGCCACCGCCCACGGGGCCCCTTCCCTACTAACCACCTCAGACCCCTAACTCCACCGGGATCACTCTGACCCTGCGCGTGTTAGCCCCAAGGACAGCAAGGCGTGGGTGATTTCTGAACGTCCCCATGTGTTCAGGGCGAAGTTCGGTGGCCAGAATGTCAGAGTGGCTTTTCTCAGTTCCTATTCTCACTGGTCTTGGATGATGGGTTTTTTTTTTTTTTCTCCTTTTCTTATTCATGGCACTCACAAAATAATAAAGGAAATATATTTTATTTTAAAAAAAAAAGCACACGCCCTGTATGTATTCACATTTCATTCTAAACTTTGTCTCTCTATGTGCAGGTGGGCACTAACATGTTATAAAATTGTTATTACAGCTGTACCTTTGAATCTGTACCTTTGACTTAACACGAAATAATAAGAATGATACTGCTGCCAGAGCCCCTGGGGTTTTTACTTTTAGTGGCTGCCTAATATTCTGCTGAGATCACCATATCATATTTTATTATTCCCTCTGTTAGGTATTGGGGTTGCTTCTGATGTTTCACTTTAGAAATAATACTGTGGTGAGGATCTTTAGGCATATAGCCTTTCCTTTCCTTAGGATTATTATAAAATATGTTCTTGGGAGTAAAGAAGACACTTTACTGTTTTACATTTATTTGCCAAAAATCATGCTAATTTATTATGGCCATCCACTGAACAGGTTTACCATTTTGCTCCAACTTCAGCATATTAGGTGTTGCTCTTTTTGTAACTTCTGCTAAATTAATAGCTAGGGACAGAGAGAGGCAAAATGCTGTCGCCGAGGTGTAGCTGTCCCGCCCCGCTCCCTCCGCAGCCCAGCAGTGGATGGGCCCCTGTAGCATCCCTGTGCTCCTGGCAGATTTTACTGTCCGGAGGGGAGAGCGGGCTTCTGATGGCTTTTCTGCCCCCCACTCAGCGTTGTTTATCTTGTTTCAACAGCCAGAGCAGTTTAATGGACAAAACAACACGTTCTCGGGAAGCAGCTACAGTAACTACAGCCAAGGGAACGTCAACAGGGTATGTTCCGATTTAATTTACAAATTCTAAGCCACAGGCAGTTGTTACCTCTAAAGGCTCTCACTGTTCCTGCTCCAGCCTCTCTGGACATTCAGAGGGGCCCATGGGTGCGGGTGCACTCCCTGGTCCCCTGTGCTGGGGACAGAGATGCTCAGGACTGAGAATCCACAGCTCCAGGTGGGGTGGGCCCCAGGGTAAAGTGTCAGCCTGGCTGGTCTTGAAAACAAGAAGAAGGAGAGGGGCTCCTGGGGAACCTGGGCCCCAGATTCTGCAGGCCCCGACTCCATCTGGGGACCCTGATGGGTGGGCATAGAGGGTGTGGCCTTGAGTCGTGATGTTTGAAGCCCACCTGGTCGGGTGACAGGAGGCCTGGGCTTTATTCCTGCTGTCCTGTCCTCCGAGGTTGTTCTGAGCAAGCCCCCGACCCTGAGCCTCTGTGTCCCCATTTGTCACATGGATGGGTAAGGGTCTCCACATGCACCTGACACAGGAGCTCAGTGGTGAGACCCAGATGAAGGGTGGGGAGGCCCTTCCCAAGGCTGTCTTCTGAGCGGGACAGAGATCTGTGAGAGAGAAGGGTTTCCGTGGTGGAGGCTCTCCTCCCAAGGGGCATGGCCCCGGGCCCCTGGGGTGAGTGCAGTGTATGTACATAGCCATGGCCCCTTCTGTCTCCAGGATCCCATAACCTATGTGTGTCTTCTCTTTCTCTCCAGCCTCCCAGGCCGGTTCCTGTGGCAAATTACCCCCACTCGCCTGTTCCAGGGAACCCCACACCCCCCATGACCCCTGGGAGTAGCATCCCTCCATACCTGTCCCCCAGCCAAGACGTCAAACCACCCTTCCCGCCTGACATCAAGCCAAATATGAGCGCTCTGCCGCCACCCCCAGGTGAGGGCCCTACCTCCCTCTGTTGGGCAGCTCCATTTGGGCCCCCCAGTGGGCTGGGAGCAGGGGGCTTAGTAGTCAGGCTGCCTGGGGATTGGGCATGCAGTAAGGACAGACTTGAGAGCAGGTGAGATACCCAGGGGCACATTGAAGGAGGGGTGGGCTGCCCACAGACAGCCCATCTCACTGCTGCCTGGGTGCCTGGAGGCTGGGAGGAAAATCTGTACCCAGCCACGGAAGGAGGCAGGGAGGCGGGTGGAAGAAGAGATGATGAGTAGCTGGGGTGGGGCCGTGTAGAATCGAAGCCATGACTCACTGGTATGCCCTTGGCCTGGCTATGTCTCTGGCCCTGTTTACACACCCCTGCCTTCCTCTGAGCGTGCAGCCCAGGGTGAGCAAGTCCCACCCACAGCCCAGGAACCCATGGCAGCTGGGGCTTGTGGCTCACCCACCTCCTCTCCTCGCCCCAGCCAACCACAATGACGAGCTGCGGCTCACATTCCCCGTGCGGGATGGCGTGGTTCTGGAGCCCTTCCGCCTGGAGCACAACCTGGCTGTCAGCAACCATGTGTTCCACCTGCGGCCCACGGTCCACCAGACGCTGATGTGGAGGTACGTGTCAGGGCAGGGGCGCCAGCCCAGGCGGGATGAAGGAGGTCCCCCGGGATGGCTTCCTTGGGCCCGAGTGTGGCCCTGGGCAGGTGGTGGCAGCATCTTCTGTCACCTTCACGTGTTCGGCATCATTGACTGGGCCCTGTCCTGCGGTTGTCATGGGAAGTCTGCAGGGGCACCGGGAGATGAGCAGTCAAGGTATCATGGCCTAAGGGCAGGGAGCAGCTGTCACTCACCCCAGAGGAAAAGGTGGCTGGCTCAGACCTAGGCTGGGAAGCTGTGTATCCCATCTGAGACCGTGAGCTGACAAGAGGGAATGAAGTCAAGAATTCGAGTGTGACTCAGGTGACCAGAGCCAGGAATGCAGAGATGATGCTGGTGCAGGGGCCAGGCCTGGGTCAGGCAGGCCCCGCCAATTGCAAGGGGCTGACCATTGGGCAGGGCTGCTGCTCAGACACTTCGGCACGTGCTGGAACGCAAGGTCCGGAGGTTCCCTGCTGAGCCAGGCCCATGCTCAGCACCTTCCACATGTGACCTACTTTGATCTTGGAAATGGGCAACACTTTCCCTTTTGACAGAGGAGGAAGCTGAGGCCAGAGAAGTGAATTGGCTTGTGTGAGTTCTCACAGCTAGCCAAGGGCAGAGCTGGGACTTGGGCCCAGGTCTCCAGGATGCCAGAACCAACCCTAGGGGTCTCCACCCTTCAGTCCTTCATCCTCAGGCAAGACTCACACTGTCTCACTGTGCTTGTGACTCAGACCCCCTCGATTGCCCAGTGAGCATCTCCAGGGCAAGAGCTGGGTCTGTGCCTGGCATGTGCACACACACCCCTGCTGTTTTCTTGACCAGGCTGAGCAGGCTGGGCGAGGTGGCCACAGATAGCTGGTGTGGGCGTTCAGAACACAGGAGCTGCAACACTCAGGCAGGAGGGCAGAGGCTCCTGGCACGGGACAAACCACTGTGCTGCCTCCCTGCACCCTGCTCACCCACACTTCTTACCTGGGAGCGTCCTGGCCTGGGAGACCTCCTCCTCCTGGCTTGGTTGTCACGCATACGTGGTCACTGCTGGTTCCTGACACTCCTCAGTGCTGCGTCCTGGGGGGCCTCCTTGGGGAGTGCTCAGAACCAGAAATGGCCGTGACCTGAGAGGACAGTTCCCAGCAGGTCTGGAGACGGGCTTGGCTGGCCTCACAGCAGGTCTTGTCAAATGAGTGCCTGTTCTTTTGCCCCTCTGTCTCTGACCTAGGGAGCCAAGAGTTGACCCCTACAGGGAGGACAGTCCAGGGAGATGGGAGCTAGAGCAGCTGTGGGGTATGGCGGGAATGATTGGTGTGCGGGGATCTTGGGGGCAGTCTGGTTGTAGAGGGAGTATCCAGAATGGGAGAGGAGAACTCAGGCTAGGGGAACCGTTGGGGTCAGGGATGGGGTCCTAAGGGTCTCGGAGGTTGTGGTGCGTTCAGAGGTGTGTGGCCTGGCTCGGGGTCACAGAGGCCGTGGACAGCCCCCTGGCAGAGCTGCCCTGAGCACCCCCGTACCCCACCTAGGTCTGACCTGGAGCTGCAGTTCAAGTGCTACCACCACGAGGACCGGCAGATGAACACCAACTGGCCCGCCTCGGTGCAGGTCAGCGTGAACGCCACGCCCCTCACCATTGAGCGCGGCGACAACAAGACCTCCCACAAGCCCCTGCATCTGAAGCACGTGTGCCAGCCGGGTCGCAACACCATCCAGATCACTGTCACGGCTTGCTGCTGCGTGAGTGTGGCGGGCTGGGGGCAGCAGTGGCACGGGCAGTCCCTGTTGCACGGTGTGGGAGTGCGGGACACCCTGCCCCCCTCTGGTCCTCAGCCTTGTCCTTGGGTCACCAGCCCCTGTGCCCACAGCCACCAGAGATATAGTGTGCCCTTACCTGCTCCCCACCTAGGGCCTGTGCAATAACCTTCAAACCGCTGGGCCTTCAAAGCCACTATGCCCTGGCTTCAGATGTGGCCTCTTCCCCCGGACACTAGGCCTCCATCTGTTCTCCACGCATGCCTCCAATTCACCCCTCCTGGCCCCTCCTCCCTGCCCTTCATTCATTGGTCCGGTTCTGTGTTCCTTGAAGCCATGTCCTGCTTGCCTCATTCACCAGTAGTTGTCATTGTCAGCACCTTTCTCCCCAGACCCAGCTCCCCCAAACCTGGAGTTAACGCGTTCCCTTCTTTCCCAACCCTCTTGTCTTAGAGTCATGTATGGGGGTCCTTCCAACCCGTGACTTGTTACCTAGGGCCAGCTGTCAGCCCCCCTCATGTGCCCTGAAGCTCAGGGCCCAACACACAGGGCTTGCTCCGGCCCCAGTGGAAGTAAATGTGTGCCCCACTCCACTGGCCTCTCTGTAGGGGCATGGAGAAGGAAGCACTCTGATCCTGCCCTTGTGAGCTTACGGGCACAGAGCCCACACAGAGACAGGGGTCACAGACCTGGGCAGCACATCCCATTCCGACTGGGGAGTGTGATGTACTGGGTGAGGCTGCACAACTGTCAGAGTAAGGCAACTGATGGGTGGACGTTTGGGGTGTGCGTTCTGGAAGGCTTCCTGGAAGGGCGAAGCGAGGGATGAGCACCCTGGCCGGAAGGGCTGAGGACACATGATGGGAAGGCAGTGGTAGGGGAGGTTAGGAAGTGAAGTGGAACCCAGGCCTAAAGCCATGTGTCCTATAACCTTATCCAGAGAGTATTTCAGTGTCAGAGTCCACCTTGTCGATCTGCAGCAGAGGCGGCCTTTCCAGAGTGGTGTTCAGGCTCACAAGTCCCAGGACACATGCTGGGGGAGTGTCTCCTAGGCCGGCTGTGGGATCTTGGGAGCAGTCTAGGGCTGCTGAGGCTGCAGGCAAGGCGGGGCATGATGACAGTGTGCAGAAACCGAGTGTCTGCTCTCTCCCCGCAGTCACACCTCTTCGTGCTGCAGCTGGTGCACCGGCCCTCCGTCCGCTCTGTGCTGCAAGGACTCCTCAAGAAGCGCCTCCTGCCCGCAGAGCACTGTATCACAAAAAGTGAGTCAGGGTGGGGACAAGGAGTGAGGGCCAGACCCCAGCCCCGCCTGAGTTTGGGACTAAGAAGCAGTCACCATTCACCTGGGACTGACGTTTGCCTCCATGCATGTCGCCACCAGGCCTGGAGTGTCCCTGAGCATGCCCCATCCTGAGGCTCCTGCCCTCCTCCTCGGGCTGTTGTCATGACCAGACAAGCTGGGGGCCATAAGTGCTGGTGGGAGTTCTGGGACCTGCCCTGTGTGGAAGAGCTGGTAGTCCAGCTTGGGAGTCAGAACAAGCATACCTGCAACAGCAGCACATGAGGCAGATTAAAACAAAATGTCAGGAAGCAGGCTTCCTGGAGGAGGTGAAGACCTGGGCCAGGCCTTTAAAAGATGAGAGGATTTACAGAAAAGGGGATCCTCATCAGGTGGAAGACACGGAGGGTGGATTCCAGATTGGCCTCTCTACCTCAACAGCTCATGCTTTTTTTTTTTTTTTTTTGAGATGGAATCTTGCTCTGTTGACCAGGCTGGAGTGCAGTGGTGCGATCTCGGCTCACTGCAAGCTCCACCTCCCGGGCTCACGCCGTTCTCCTGCCTCAGCCTCCCGAGTAGTTGGGACTACAGGCACCCGCCACCACGCCCGGCTAATTTTTTTGTATTTTTGTAGAGACGGGGTTTCACCATGTTAGCCAGGATGGTCTCGATCTCCTGACCTCGCGATCCACCCGCCTCGGCCTCCCAAAGTGCTGGAATTACAGACATGAGCCACCACATCTGGCCAGCTCATGCTTAAACTCAGGAGAGGACTGGGCACAGTAGCTCATGCCTATAATTCTGGCACTTTGGGAGGCCGAGGCGGGAGTCTGGGAATTCAAGACTAGCCTGGCCACATAGTGAGAGCCTGTCTCCACAGAAAAATGAAAAATTAGCCAAGAGTGGTGGCTTGTGCCTGTAGTCCCAGCTGCTCAAAAGGCTGAGGTGGGAGAATTGTTTGAGCTGGGGAGGTCGAGGCTGCAGTGAGCCATGATCACGCCACTGCACTCCAATGTGGGTGACACAGCAAGACACTGCCACAAAAAAAAAAAAGTTGGGATGGAAGGACTTGGCTTGGAGTCCCATTTAAAGGAGACCCCGGGTGTGAACTCAGAGGCCCTGCGCAGGAGGTACAGGGCCACTCTCCACGTTGCTGCCCTGAGCCCTGGGATTCCAGCAGGCAGCTGTTCATTTCCATTTCCACATGTGCAGAGTGAAGTGCAGGAGTGCCTGAGGGGGCTTTTCACTGACCCAGTAAATCAGAGAAGTGCCAGACCGACTTTCCATGAGCTTTGCAGACATCCCCCTTCCTAGCGAAGGCAGGGCCTGCTTTGCAGAGATAGAGGAACTGCCGCAGCCACCTCCTCAGGCACACACACACCACACGCGTCCCACATGGAGACAGCAGCCTGGGCACCCAGCCCTATGACTGACACACTGTGGGCCCTCTCAGTGTTTGATGTGGGCTGGGAGGAGGACCAGGACGTGCCCCAGCTGCACGAGGAAATGGGGAGCATGTGCAGACCCCCCACCTCTGTAGGACGGCCTTGCCATCCTCACCTGTCTGTGCCTCCTGCCCCGCAGTCAAGCGGAATTTCAGCAGCGTGGCTGCCTCCTCGGGCAACACGACCCTCAACGGGGAGGATGGGGTGGAGCAGACAGCCATCAAGGTGTCTCTGAAGTGCCCCATCACATTCCGGCGCATCCAGCTGCCTGCTCGAGGACACGATTGCAAGCATGTCCAGGTGAGCGTCCCCAGAAAGCACAGCTCTGGCAAGCCACCTAGATTCTGGCTGGGATGGTGAGGGGTAGGCAGAGGGGCAACAGGGCTTGTCCAAACACTGTCCGGAAGGATGTCTTGGAGATCAGCAGCTGACATCACTCATTGATTTCAGCCATCATTTATCTTTGAGCATCTTTTCCATGTGCTTAAGGCCAAAGGGGCTACAGAAATGGTTTTGGACAGCCCCTGCCCTGGCAGATGGCAGATGCCAGTTGGAAGTCCCACACACATGGCAGGGCTGATTGGGGGCCCAAGAGCAGGGACACCACTGTCCAATTCATGCCTCTGTGCAGGGCCTTGCATCAAGCCAGTGTTCAGGAAGTGGCCCTGGTGTGAGTGACAGTCCCAGTCTGAGCAGGCAGTGACAGAGCAATGAGTAAACGTGGGCAGCCCAGCCTGGAAGAAGAACAAGGAGCCGTCCTCTGGAACCTGGGTGTGGTGGGCATGCAGAAGGGGCCCAGGGCTGTCACCTACAGCTGGTCCTGAGGGTGCAGTGGGACAGGAGCTTCCTCTCCTCCCTCCAAAAGAATGTTGTGGGCAAGAGGATGGTCTGGTCACCTTAGCTGTGTGATACAGATCGATGAACTTGATCAGACTTGTCTTCCGTGCCTGGACTGGGCTGAAGGGGCTACCCCTGGCCTCATTGAAAGGGGCTGTTACAGGGCAAAAAACAGTGAGAGTCAGCTGGGGTGGGGACCAGGAAGGCTTCTCAGAAGATGTAGGCACAGGGTCGTTTGGAGTATGGGAGGTGTGGTGTGAGGGATGCTGGGGTGGAGGCATAAGGACTCTGCGTGGTAGAAAGGTGGCATTGCTTTCACTCCACCCAGCCCCAACCCTGGGTTTCTCCCACAGCCTATCTTTCTTTCTGGTGGGGAAGTTATTCCAAGGGTCCTTTAGGCACATTGAGGCAGTTTCTGACAGTCCTGGTCTCACCCGTTTCTGTCTGTCTGTCTGTCTGCCTGCAGTGCTTTGACCTGGAGTCGTACCTGCAGCTGAATTGTGAAAGAGGGACCTGGAGGTGTCCTGTGTGCAAGTGAGTGATGCCCACCCTAGTGGGGGCTTCCCCCATCCCCCAACCACAGAGGGGAGGGGCCGGCTACCTCCCACCTCCACCTGCCCTAAATGCAAACCAGAACCCAAACATGGCAGAGGGGCTTAGGTTATGGGGGCTCCAGGTGGTCCCTGGGTGTCACGCGGTCAGAGTCCCCCTCTCTTGTGCCTCCAGTAGTAACCAGCAGCAGGGGTGGGACCGCACTGACACTGAGGTGGATGGGCTGTGCCCCCACCTCCTTGGGTCCTAGAGCAGAGGCCAAGCTCCCTGTCTCCTTTTCCAGTAAAACCGCTCTGCTGGAGGGCCTGGAGGTGGATCAGTACATGTGGGGAATCCTGAATGCCATCCAACAGTAAGTGGGGCCCCAGCGAGGGGCAGGGGGTGAGAGGGGACAAGGCCTGGAATAGAGCAAGGTGTGCACGTGGATAGCCCTGACACAGCCCTCCCCTCCCAGGCCAGCAGACCGTGACCCACATCCCCCACCTCTCTGTCGCTTACCCTCAGGGGCCTCTGGATCTGGGGACAAATTAACTTCCCAGAAAGGATGAAAGCCAGCCAGAGTAGGAGGCTGACAGTGCCCCGCCCTGACCCTCCACCTGCTGCTCCCCAAGCGGGAGGCCTTGAGACCAGCTGCCCTGTGCCCAGCCACTTGCTTTTCTAGCCTCAGTCTCCCCGTATGTCAAAGAAATATGGAGAAATCCCTGCCAGGCTTCTGCCTTGTCTACAGTGTGGTCAGAGTTGGGGCAGGTGCCTCAACAAGGTCACCTTAGGGTCTATCTGAGCTGGAGGTGCTTTTATGCCCAAAGCCAGGCACCCCAGAGCCTCAGCTCTGCCACCCTTCCTCCCCCAGCTCCGAGTTTGAAGAGGTCACCATCGATCCCACGTGCAGCTGGCGGCCAGTGCCCATCAAGTCGGACTTACACATCAAGGACGACCCTGACGGCATCCCCTCCAAGCGGTTCAAGACCATGAGTCCCAGCCAGATGATCATGCCCAACGTCATGGAGATGATCGCAGCCCTGGGCCCCGGCCCGTCCCCCTACCCCCTCCCGCCTCCCCCGGGGGGCACCAACTCCAACGACTACAGCAGCCAAGGTGGGTGATGCTAGGCAGGGAAGAAGGGAGAAGGAGGGCAGCCCCAAGTCCCTACAGGGGCACAGAATTTCTGTGCTGATGGTGGCAGGGGCCAGGGATGTGGTTGAAGAGAGAGAAGTAACACGCCCCCCAGTAAACAATCCCTAGTTTGCTAGACTTAAGGGTACATGGGCCTAGCCCAGGGGCTTCAGAGCCTGCCCTGGTGGGAGATAACGACTGCTGCCTCTTCCCAGCCAATCTCCTCTGGGTCTGCTGACAGCACACACTCACCTGAGTTCTTGGCCTTACCCCCTGCCCTCCCATATATTTTCCGTGATATCTGCATTTTCCCTGCAACTCTCCTGCCCTCCTAGGGACAGAGTCCAGGTTCCTGGAGCCTTAGCCTTTAGCCACCAAGGTCACACACTGGCTCTTATACTCCCAGCTGCCCAGACCAAGTTTTACCCCTACCGCCACTGATTCCTGGAAAGTACTCGCCACTGGGTGGCAGCTCCCGCTGGGATCCCTGATCTTAGGTCCCCATGAGAGGCCCAGAGAAGTTAGGCCACCTAGCCAGACTCCCACAGTGTGCCAAGGGTCAAGCCTCCCCACCTGCTGATCCTCTGACCCTTGCCATCGTCACATGGTGGAGGGCACAGTGACCAGGGAGGCGGGACAGCTGGCTTCTGCGCGCGTCATCCTGAGTCTGTTGCAGCTTTCTTTGTGGGCTTGGCAGAACCTGCACCCACTCTGGGCCTGGGTCTTGCTGGGTATGAAAAGTGCCCACATTGGGGAGTAGCTCAGTGGGTCTGCTATGGGCTCAGGCTGTGTCCCCCACTCCCCACAGGAGCCTGGCCCTCCCCCTTTCTCCCACTCTGCCCCCTCCTCCATAACTGTAAGGGCAGCACATCCCCTGGGGTACCACAGACCACGGGACAGGGCTGCGTGGCTACTCCATCCTACAGCCCGGAAGCCTCAGGCTGCTGTGGCCAACTGCAGCCTCGCAAGAGGAAAAGGACTTGGCTTGTATTTTTGCACACACTCTGTTCTCTGGGGTGGCCACTATCCCTCTGGGTGACCCTCTCCCCTCCCCATCTCATCCCTTCCTAGGCAACAACTACCAAGGCCATGGCAACTTTGACTTCCCCCACGGGAACCCTGGAGGGACATCCATGAATGACTTCATGCACGGGCCCCCCCAACTCTCCCATCCCCCGGACATGCCCAACAACATGGCCGCCCTCGAGAAACCCCTCAGCCACCCCATGCAGGAAACTGTGAGTACCTCCTCCTCACCCCACCCCATTCCCCAGCCTTTGGGGTTGATGCCTTGGGATCTGGATATCCTGTTCCCTCCCAGGCAAGGCAGAGGATGAAGATTTGGATGTGTGGGCTCAGAAGGGAATAGGAGGGGTCTGACTAGATCTAGGAGGCTAGATCGTGGCCTGTCAGCGTCCTTGGACTTGGCTGTTTTACCTATGACTTCGGATTCTCTGGAGATGGGAGGAGCTTCAGGCTCTTCCCCAAACACTCACGCCTCCACGCATACACACACACATGTGCATGCACTTGCCAGTACCCAGCACACGCCATCAGCCCTCTCCCTCTCCCACTTGCACACTCTTACACTCACCTAACACAGTTCCAGCCACCTCGACTTTTGTCCCCTTATTCCCCAAGGATCTGAATTCAGGGTATTACCACCTCCAACAAAAGAAATGCTAGGAAGTCTCATTATCTGAAGAGCATTCACTTCTCGTTCTGTTTCACACTTACTGACATATGCCCTGTGTGGCTGAGGATGCCCCTGGTGGGGTAAGGTATCCTGTGCTGTCCACAGGCCCTCCCTGCCTGTGGCCCCAGTGGCAGTGGCAGGAGGCCCTCCTGTCCCCTGCAGTCCTCATCCAGTGAGTTCCACGTGGTTCCACTCAGTTTAACAACAGGTGTAAGCAGGACAGACAGGCCTTGTACTAATGGAGCAAAACTCCCGGCAGTGCATGGGTGCAGGAAGAACAGTTGGGGTTTGGAGAAACTGAAGCCTCCAGAGGCTGAAGTAGTGTGTCTGAGGTCTCAGTCATTCTGGGCTCTCATCTTAGGGAGGAGGGGCCATCACTGAGCTTTTTGTGGGTCCTGGGCCACATAAGCCAGGGAGAGGGCCTGGGGTCCCGCCAATGTCTGGCAGTGGGCTTGGGTGGCCTGCACAGGAAGGAGCCTCTGGATTATACTGTCTTCCACACACCTGCCATGGAATTGCCTCAGGACTCTAGGTGAGGGAGCAGCAGCTCTCCCTCAGGACCCCAGGAGTCCAAGTGGGAAACAGATGCTTTGTGGAGCCTTGGCCAAGTTTTTGAAAGTTACTCTGTACCCCATGGGGCTTGTGATTTCTGGGGGCTTCTTTCCTGGTGCCCCTTCCTGGGTCCTGAGGGCATCCCACACCCAGAGGACATCAAAATCACACCCCACCCCACACACACACACACACACATCCTGCGCCCTCCAGTTCCTACCACTGGAATATGGAGTGGGAATGCTGTCTATTTCCCCTTGACAACCGAGCTTTCTCCTGCCTTCTGTGAGCCCCGCTGCCTGCATCTGTGTGGCGGGATCTGAGCCTGTGAGTTGACCTCGGAGCCCCTTAAGATGCTCTCTAGATGGTCCTGTCCTCCATTTCTGAGCTCTCACTAGAGGGCAAGCAGACCTGGAAGTGCAGATGCGCCAGGCCGCTGGGGCAGGGCAGTCACAGGTAAACTCCTACCACGCCTGCCCACGTGGAGGCAGCCACACCCCCAGCTGAGCCCAAGGCTGGGAGGCACTGCCATGCCCGCAGGGACTGGCCAGAGCGCTCCAACCAGATACTGCTGCCCCCACAGACTGCCCATACTTGGTGTCAGGTTGACAGGTGTGTCAGCAGTGCTCCAACAGCACCTGCACCTCCAGGCCAGAGACGTTCCAGCCAGATACGGAGCTGAGGGGCACAGCTGCCTCTGAAGATCCAGGGACTGTCTCTCTTGAGCTGGGCTGCACAGCTGGAGTGTGGAGCCCTCCCTGCTCTCCCAGGGTGGGCACTGAGGGCGTCTACAGGAGTGGGAGCCCCAAGCTGGCCTCTCACTGACCATGGATGGTGGCCCATTCCTCCAGCCTCTTGTATGTGTCTTATAAACGGGTCTCCCAAGGTCTCCAGCATCACAGTTGCGAGGTCATCGCATTCTTGGGGCTTGGACTGAAAGGGCACTGTGCTCCCTAAGGCCACATTGGGTTGAGGCCCTGTACCCTGAGAAGGGGCCACCTGAACCGTGGGCAGAGACCGGCCCGTAGCAAGGCCTGGGAAGCAGTTTTAGGAGAAATAGGAAGAGGAAGTTGGAATTGGGCGAAGACTGAGGATGGTGTGGCCGCGAATTCTAAATGCACACGGGGAGAACATGCCCCAGGATGGGGCAGGGTGAGGGGATGAAAAGACCAAGGAAGCATGTGCCAGGCTGCTGTTCCAGTGGAGCACCTGGAGCATCTGTGAGCCACCTTCACTGGCAGAGTGAAAATGGGGCTGGGGGCTGTCAGGGATGCTTGCAGTGGGATCAGGGCTTGGTCTGCAGGATTCCCCAGCCTTTCACTTTGAAGGAGGGTCTGCTTGGGACAGCAGCAGGCTAGCAGGGGAATGTTCACATCTCACCCACCCACCCACAGACAGCCCAGTTTTCAGTGCACATGCCCACGGGAGAGTGTGAGTCCTCTAGTTCATCTGTTAGAGAGGCACCGCCAGCCTCACCCTCAGCAAGACACCCACCATTGGTGAACCGTCGCTCAGTCCCGTTGTCCTTGGAGTGCCAGAGGTGCCTGCCTCCCTCACAACCCTGTGTTTTTGAGGGCTGGTGCCGACCAAGTAGGATGTCTAGGAAAAGGGTCTGGCAGGGTGTGAAGATGCCCCTGGCTGGCCAGGTGCCCACCCAGCCCTGCTCCTCTGACAGCCAGATTCCACCCAGGCTGCAGGGCTTGTGCCAAGACCCCAGCTGCTGCACACTTCGGGCTGGCAGAAGGTGCCTTCGTGCCCAGCATCACCCCTGCCCAGGGCCCACTTGGGAGGTGCAGACCCAGTCCTGAGCCGCACGCCCGCCCGATGCTGTCTGTCTGTGTCTGCTCTCTGCTGCCCAGCTTGGGGTCTGCACCATGCTGCGGCAGCCGCCCTCCCGCCTCCTGCTCCCTGGAACATGCCCATTCTGCTTCTCCATCCTGCCCTCGCTGTTGTTCGTTGTCTGGGCGGGGAGGCGGAGGGGCCTGGGGGAGCCCAGGCCCAGCTCCCCGTGTCTGTGCTTGTGTCGAAGCCCTCCCCACCTCCTGGGGCCCCACGTGGCCTTGGAGGTCCCCGCCGTCCCCCTGCAGCCTCCCCGATGGGCGGTTTTGGGGGAGAAATTTTTCTGTTTCTCTGCCCAGAAACAACGTTCAGCCTCGTACTGGGTGGCCACGTTTCGGGGGTTGTGACTTCCCTGGTTGTGTTGGGTTTCATTTTCTCCAGGCATCGTCGCCGTGCCTCCTCACCTCACCTCTCTTCTCTCCCGCTCTCTCCTCCTCCACAGATGCCACACGCTGGCAGCTCTGACCAGCCCCACCCCTCCATACAACAAGGTTTGCACGTACCACACCCCAGCAGCCAGTCAGGGCCTCCATTACATCACAGTGGGGCTCCTCCTCCTCCTCCTTCCCAGCCTCCCCGGCAGCCGCCACAGGCCGCTCCCAGCAGCCATCCACACAGCGACCTGACCTTTAACCCCTCCTCAGCCTTAGAGGGTCAGGCCGGAGCGCAGGGAGCATCCGACATGCCGGAGCCTTCGCTGGATGTAAGTTGGGGTCGCCACTCGCCTTGGCCTGGGGCTAGGCCTGGCGCCGGGACCTGCCCGAGAGAAGGGGTGGGTGTGAGGGCTCAAGGCCCCGAGGGGAGGAGGTGGGTGGGCGGCGGGAGGGCTTCAGCCAGACCTGGCTCCAGACCAGGAAGCCCCATGACGGGGAAGTGTTACCACTGAGGGTCCCCACCCTGCTGGCTCCTGTCCCCCTAGTCCCTTTGGCCATAGCCCTGAACCCCAGCCCTGACCCACCTTCTGACCCAAGCCCTGCGGGGTCCCTCGCGCAGCACAGGAGGGTCCCTGCCCTCCCCCAGTGGTGAGCTTGCGGTTTCTGTGTCTGCCTCTCTGGCCTGGGCAGGGAGGGCTGGAGGGAGAGGCCGTCTGTCTGCCTCACTGGTGTGTGTCTGTCTCCAGTTTTCTTGTCCGCGTGTTGTCCATGCCCTGCTTCCGCTTGCTCCATCGCTCACTCCGAGAGACCCCCATGTGGGTGACAGAAGGTGGGGGCAGAGGGGGCCACCTTGGGTCACAGCCAGGGGTGGCAGGCCAGCATGGGCAGCAGAGGGCCAGGGATCCTACCCTGAAGTCTGGAAGATGGTGGGGGTCACCCTGGATGATGGGGCTGGGCTGCTAGATGTGACTGGCGGGATGGGACCGAGCACCGGCCCCTCCCATGCCCACCACGGAGCTGGTGCCAGACTCCGGGAGGAGGCCTGTCGTCAGTCACTCCTGTTCTTCACCCCCAGCCCTGCTCTGTCAGTCTCTGCTCCAGCAGCATCAGAGGGCTCTGTGCTAGCTAGGACTCACTCACTGCGCAGCCATCTCAGGTCCTCGCCCAGTGTCCCCCTCAGCCAGGCCAGTGGGGCTGCCTTTAGATGCATGAGGCTTCCCATGTGACAGACTCCAAGGATATCTCAGTAGAGGGTAGGGACAGTCTGCAGCCCCTCTGGGGCCACAGGGAAGGATGGCTGCCAGCCAGCCACAGGCTCACCAAGGAGCGGCGAGCCCTTGAGAGAGGGATGGTGGGTAGGGGGTTGCGGGAACCACTCACCTTCCCGCCTTCCCACCAGCCCACATCCTTGTGCTTACACATGAAGCATGTGATTTCAGCTGGGAGGCCCAAGTGACCCACCATGGGGCCTTCCCAGCTTAGGGCTGAAGTCCATGCCTGAAAAGGGTCAGCCCTGCTCAGGCCTCAGCTGGTGGACTGCGGGTCCCGCTCCCCAGGCTTGAAATGAGCACGGGGGTGCCCCACACTCGGTGCAGTGGCTGGTGTGTGTGTGGGGATGCCTGGCAGGCCCAGGCCCAAGGCTGTTCTCTTCCGTTTTTTTTGGCTAGGGTCCTGAGAGGCAAGTGGAGGGGGACGGGCCAGGGCGCCCCTGCATTCCTCACCCGGGGCCTGCCTCTCGGGCACACCTCATCTGAACTTCGTCACTCCTTCTTTTCCAGCTCCTTCCCGAACTCACAAATCCTGACGAGCTCCTGTCTTACCTGGACCCCCCCGACCTGCCGAGCAATAGTAACGATGACCTCCTGTCTCTGTTTGAGAACAACTGAAGGCCACCCAGTCGGGGCCATCCCTCCACACTCTGCCTCCCACCCCACCTGCCCTACACACTTTTCCACCTGGGAGCCTGTGCCCTCAGACCGCCCCACACCAGAGCCACAGGCTGTGGGGCGGGAAACCCTCCCCTGCTGCAGCCCTCTCAGAACAGAGGGGTAGGGAGGGTGCGCCGGGAAGGCTGTGTGGGTCTGGAGTCCCCGTCCCGCCTGTACGCCCTGGGCTTGGGCCCATGTCCAGCGCAGGCCTGAAGACCACCCTCCCGAGAGGAACCAGCCCGGTAAGAGGGCGCACGCCGATGTGGCTTCCCGGTTCCTCCGCGTGTGCCGATTCCAGATGACCTTCCAGTGTCCCCAAGGTTCTTCCATCTTTTAGACTGTAACCCTGCCTCCCTGCTTCCTGGTACAGACCCTCCCTTAAGTGACTTTGGAGCCTGAGAAGGCCCCCGGGCCCCAGCACGGGCCCCGAGCCTTGGAGGAGCACTGGCAGTTGGTGGCAGTGAGACTAGCCCGCCCACCACCACCCACCACAGAAAAGCACAAACCTCTGGGAAAGACTACGTCTCTCGGGGGCCACTGGTCATCGGTTTGACCCCTGACCTTTAAGCCAAGATACCCCATAAACACACTCTCTCAGAAAGCAGAGAAAAAGGACAAGATTCTGTGTTTGAGAGGGAGTCTGCCATTCCTGCTTGGGGACTGGTGGGAAAGAGGGCCAGGACATCTCTGAGGCTCCACCTCCAAGCTCAGACAGGACCCAGCCTTGGGGGACAGAGAGAGCAGGTGTGCGCCCAACCAAAGTGATTGTGCCCTTGGTTGGGGGGCGGGGGCATATAACCTGTCAGAATCAAACAGGAGCGGCAACTTCTAACTTTGCTCCAAGCCACTCTCTTTTTAAACAGCAACGATTTAAAGCTATGAAGTCACCTGGAGAAAAGGAACGTTGCGCTTGGACAGCAAGCAAACCATTTCTGTGTGTTCTGTTTTTCTCCTAGTCCCTCTCCTGCCACCTCTCCAAGACTTCCGTGGGACGCCCACTTCCCCCTGTGTCCTAGTTCTTTGTCCAATCAGATGGCAAGGGCAGTGTGTGGAAAGGCTGGGGAGGTGCAGAAACCGGAGCCCAGGGCAATGGTGTCTGTCCAGCCCCTCCCTCTGTCCTTGTGCTCCAAGCTACCCCCGGCTGCAGCCCAGGCCATGGCCATGTGCACTAGTATGTACCTGCATGCATGGGGGGGAGAAGGGGGGCGTGTTTCTGGGCCTGCCCCAGACACTGCCCTTGGCTGCCAGCCTCCCCTGCCTGCACTCCTCCACCATCACAATCTCACCCCACACTCCTGCTCACTCAAGCAAAAGCAGCCTCTGGCCTTCCCTCCACCGCTTTGCTCCATCTGGCTTACCACTCTCCAGGGCCTCCTGGGGAGCTTGTCCTGTGTTCGCTTTGTTTCAGGGGTCCCATCTGTAAATTCTTTGCACCCTTCCCGGCCGCTGCCTGGGGCCCTTTCTGCTCTCCCGTCCACTGTGGGTGGTCCCCAGCACTCCTCTGTGGGTTTTACCGGAAAGGTGGCCCCAGCTGTTGACTTCCAGTCACTGTCCCAGACGGCACAAGGTTTTCTGTAGGAAAGCTGCCATTGCCCCAGCCCCTTTTTTTCCTTTGTCCCGTTGTCGTCGAGGTTTTTTCAAATAGTGTGTTGTTCAGTATGCAAATCAATTATTTTAAGAATCGCTTTTGTAAATATCTTTGTGAATATTTTAGTATCGTCTTTGATAATATTCAACATTTTCATGACCTGGTTATAGCCTTTGCTGGTGTTTTTAAAATATCTGGACTCAATGACAAAGACCGAGTCTTCTTTTTTTTAAAACAAAAACAATAAAAGCAACCAGGGCTATTTGTACAGTTGAAGGGGCGAACAGAATGGGCGGCTGTGCTGGGAGTTGGAAGACCGGGCAGCCTGCTATTTAGAGCCATCCCTCAGTCAGCTGGCAGGGACAAGCCAACGCCAGGTAGCATGTGGCCACCCTGCCCAGTGTCTGTGGCCTGGCAAGTGGCCATGCCCTGTGTCAGACCATCTGGGAATGAAGCTCCAGACAGACTTACAGATGCCTTCCTTAGGAGTTCTTGCTTCCTGCCTTGATACTTTGCCCCAGAAAGGCCTGGGGTTCATTCTGGTTCTTAATCAGGGTGTGTCCACACTCTGCTCACAGGCGGATCCACAGCTTTCCAGTGCAGAGAGTCGAGATGCTCCCTGCAGCCCAGGCCCCGGGCACTTCCTGCAAACATCTCTGGGCTCAGCACCTGAGGCAGGTTTCCTGGGTCCCCTCTCCAGCAAGCCTCCACCAGCAAGCTCGGCCCAGAGCTTCCCTTTCGGCCGGCTCTGAACCATGTGTGGTGCCTACAGCCTGCAGTCTGGAGACAAGCTTTTCCGGAGTGCTCTTGGAGCCAGGCCAGGGTGTGAGGGGGGTGCAGAGGCACCCGGGGCGGGAGCAAGCCCCAGGTTGTGACAGGTGCAGGTAGACAACGCCCATAAGCAGAGATGGTCCTGAGCTCTGGAGAGATCCTTCCCTGATCCTTTCGGACGACTACTTGGAGCCATAAGTAACCTCAGCAAAAACGAGGCCTCTGCAAGCCACTTTTCCATGCCAAGCGTCCACCCGGCCGGCCCACAGGCATGTTTCTGCCACCCACTCCTCAAGATGGACAGGGAGCCAGCAGGCAGGCGGGAAGGGCCAAGTACAGGCAATCACCCCCATCTTCTTGGTTTGAAGCTTTATCCATGTATCATGTTCCCTGTAGCCATTTTATTTTTTAAGAAACTGCTAATACTTTCTCCCTAATGGAAGCCCTGACCCCCCAGAGAGCTACAGGTCTGCTCCCGACGGGCCTCGGGCCTGACCCGTCCACACAGGGCCGTGTCAGCAGCAGCGACTCAAGGGACGTGTGTACATATGTAAATGAGAAATAGAGACGTGTCAACAGATGCATTCATTTCTCTTGGAATGTGTATTGTTTTTATTTTGCGAAACAAAGCAAAACAACAAAAAAAAAAAGCTTGGACATCCATCACGTGGAAAAACTAGATCCTGTTGGTTATAGCATTTGTGAGTTCTCCACGTCTGTCTCTCTCGCTCATGTAATATACTCTGACCCTGCGTGGAAAGGGATTTTTGTTCTGTTTTTATTTTACCTACATGTACTATTTAGCTTCAGTGTACTAGTCCTGCCACCTGTGTATTTTTAGGGTGCTATGGAAATAATGAAAAGAAACGGGGATTTCAGAAGACAATTGTAACCAAATTCATACTTTGTATAATTTTTGATATCATGATCACAGGTGATTCACACGTACACACATAAACACACCCACCAGTGCAGCCTGAAGTAACTCCCACAGAAACCATCATCGTCTTTGTACATCGTATGTACAATGCAATCATTTCATACTTTAAACTGGTCAAAAAACTAATTGTGATTTCTAGTCTTGCAAAGCTGTATGTAGTTAGATGATGTGACAACCTCTAATATTTATCTAATAAATATGTATTCAGATGAAACCTGTATATTAGGTGTTCATGTGGTTATTTTGTATTTAAAGATCAAATTATTTGACTATTGCTAGACATTTCTATACTCTGTTGTAACACTGAGGTATCTCATTTGCCCATGTTAATTTTTTTCTAAATAAATTGACAAAAATGAAGGTTTGCGAATTAGCTATTTTGTGGATGTTAAGGAGTGCTTTGGATGTTTTTGCTTTTGTTTTAAACCACACTCCCAGCCCTCTTACCTTCTGCACACACAAAAAAGAAAGGCAGGTGGTTTGGATGTTGAGTTGGAAGAACCCCTGTCCATGGGGGTCCCTGGAACCAGCCCCTGGTGGGGCAGGTGCAGTGTGTGGCTGGATGGTTGGGGAAGTTGGGGTGGCTGAACGGGGCCAGGTGGCTGCAGGGTGCTAAGGGCTCCTGTGACATGTGACTCAGAGTGTCCAACAGTGTCCCATCTCTGATGCTCCCTTGCGGATTATGCTGGTTTTAAGTATATTCCTATTAAGCCACAGAGGGTGCTGTTCAGAGCACTCAGGAGTGTGGCTTCAATGGAGAGTGAGTGTTCACTGCAGCCATGCTCCCTGCTGGCATCTCGGCATCCCTGGCCTCCGCCTCTCAGTACACCTGACCCTCCCCTCCTAGGGAAGCTTAGGTTTTCCATCCTCTGTGAGCATGCTTTACCTGGGCTACTGTCTCACGATGGCCCCTGCCCAGGCCATGGTTTTAACCATCCTTCCAGCCTCGGCACCAACACAAACTGACAGCACTTCATGTGTCTCTGATTGAAGTTTTGGGAATGGGCATCTGACACAGCCCCGCGACCAGTCCCTGCCCTCCCTGCACGCAGCCTGACCTGAGGGGGAAAGCAAGCGTGGCTGCTATGGCCTTTCCTCCACAGGGACTGTCCACAGAGGGAAGAAGGGCCGGGCCGGCACCCCAGAGATCTCCACTCAGATGTATCCGGGTGTCAGGAGAGTGAGGGGAGTGTGTGTGCAGGAGCCAGCAGTGTGGGGGAGGCTGCAGGGTGCTGCCTGTAGGGGGCTGGGTGCCCGGAAGCCCCCGGCTCCTGGGGCCTCTCTGAGGTGGCTGGAGTTGCTCCTTTTGGAGGGAGGTGGAAGGTAAGGAGGAGAAAAGATTTACATTAAATAATGGAACACCCACTGGCCACTGCTCAGCTGCAGGCACTGCCTTCTGCCAGCGTCGCCAGGACAGGCTGACTCTTTCTCTGAACAGACACCCCTCCGAGAGGAGGGTGGTTAGTTAGCTTGAGGGAGAGCTTCCCAAAGGAGACATGCCCAGCTCCCTGTGTCTTAGAGCAGCGTGGTGGGGCTGGGCCAGCACTTTCATAAAACAAAAAGAATACAGTAGAAAATATCAGGAGTGTGCCCTATAAAGTAAAGGGCAGCATTGTATCAAGAAACGTGTGTGTGTGTGTGTGTGTGTGTGTGTGTGTGTGTGTGTCTGCCGAGTCATGATGTTAATTCTTATTTGTGGGTTGTGGTTAAAAACAAACAGTTTGAATGCCATTGACTTAAAGGCAGGAAGTGGGCAGGGGAGCAGGGAGAGGGAGGAAGGGCAGTGTGCTCCCCTAACTTCATGATAATAAGCAAACCTTCCTGGCACTTCAGCTGGAGACTCTGAACCTGGGATACAGGCCTGTGGCTGCCCCACAAGGCTGCATGGAGACTGGCCGCCCCCACCTCAGCTAACTCCTCCCCAGAAGGGTGACTTCCTTCTGTGAGCCTAACCCTGGGATGAGAAACATCCACCCAAAAAGCCTAACGGGGGGCCTGGCTTGGGACAGTTCAGAGCTCAGCCTCCCAGCATGTGGGGTCACACACCGTGGATCATCTTACATCTCTTCTTCCCCTAGCCCACTGTGAAGTCTCCCACCCTGAATCCACTGACTGTCTTCATATAAGGCCATGGGGTACCACTGGGGAAAGTCATTCAGCCCTGCAGGTTGATGCCAGGACACATTGGGGTATCCAGCCTCACTGAGTACTAAGGGCACTCAATGTTTAATGGCCCCTCACTTCCTTTGTCCTCTGCTCGAGCCTCCTGCTAACCACGCCCACCTCGCTCTCAGCAGGCTACCCTACCCTCACCCAGCTCCCCACTGTCCCCGCTGCTACCCACAGGCCTATCTCCATCCACCGTGGCCATATCTTTTTCCACCCAAGCCCAGAGGATGTGGTGTCCCTTCCCCAGTTGGGGCCACCCCTCCCCCAGCCCCTGACACCATCACCCCCTTCTCTTCTACGAGAAGCCTCACTCTATCTGCCTGCTAACCCTCCCCATACCTCTGCCTCCTGCCTCCCTGGGTTTAGTGGCCCAGGCTCTGGCATCGCGAGGTTCAGCTTGGGCTGGGCTCCACCCTTCAATGGCCAGTCTCTGCTCCTTCCCACGCAGGCTTCTTGGCCACAAAGCTGCCAGTGCTCACTCTTTCTCTGTCACCCTCATATGCTTGGTTCGTGCCCCACCAGTTCTCTGACACTTCTCCTGCAAGCTCACCAATGGCCTCTTGGTTGCTGATCCATGCTGCTCTCTGAGACTGGACCTCACAGCTGCACTTGACAGTTGCCATTTCTTCCTTGAAGCTCTCTTCTCTTGGTGCTGTGGTTTGAATTCTTGTCCCCTCCACAACTCATGGTGAAACCTAATCCCCAGTGTAACAGTACTAAGAGGCAGGCCCTTGGACCAAAACGCTCTGCCTTCATGAATGGATTGATGGATTAATGAGTTGGTGAATTCATGGGTTATCATGGGAGTAGGTCTGTTATAAAAGCCAACTTGGCACACACTTGCCCTCCTCGCCACGTGATGCCTTATGCCATGCTACACTGTATCATGGGGCCCTCACCAGATGCAGTCACCCAATCTTGAACTTCCCAGCCTCCAGAAG